AATCAGCTCTGAGTACGACGATCTCTGGTGGGGTCTAGAGACGCCAGCATAAGAGAGAGGCGGCAGCATAAGAGAGAGCAGCGGTTTCGGTGGCAACATATGGGTGGCAACATTTGGGTGGCAACATTTGGGTGGCAACATTTGGCGCGGCTTGGGTGGCAACATTTGGCGCGGCTTGGGTGGCAACATTTGCGTGGCAACATTTGCGTGGCAACAGTTGCGTGGCAACAGTTGCGTGGCAACATTTGCGTGGCAACATTTGCGTGGCAACAGTTGCGTGGCAACATTTGCGTTGCAACATTTGCGTGGCAACATTTGCGTGCCAACATATGCGTGCCAACATTTGCGTGGCAACATTTGCGTGGCAACATTTGCGTGGCAACATTTGGCATTCCGGGTTACGTCACAGTGCTGCACGCGTGTTCGTCGTCGCGTCGTCGTCGTCGTCGTCGTCGTCGTCGTCGTCGTCGTCGTCGTCGTCGTCGTCGTCGTCGTCGTCGTCGTCGTCGTCGTCGTCGTCGTCGTCGTCGTCGTCGTCGTCGTCGTCGTCGCCTCGTCGTGTCATCGCCCCCCGCGCTTCTATCCTCATCCCTATCCTCACCGGCAGCCCCCTATCCTCACCACCAGCGCTGGTCGTCGTGCGCTCGTCGTCATCCCTCCCCCCGCCTCTATCCTCACTATCCTCGCCCCCTATCCTCACCCCGGGTCCTCACACCACCAGCGCTGGTCGTCGTGCGCTCGTCGTCATCCCTCCCCCCGCCTCTATCCTCACCGGTAGCCCCCTATCCTCACCGGTATCCTCACCCCGGTCCTCACCACCCACGCCGGCCTCGTCCTCACCCCTATCCTCACCTATCCTCACCGGTAGCCCCAAACCTCACCCTGGTGCACTCGTCGTCCCCCCGCCTCTATCCTCACCGGTAGCCCCTCACCATCACCCCCGGTCCTCACCACCCGCGCCGGCCTCGTCGTGTCATCGGCCCCCACCTCTATCCTCACCACTATCCTCACCCCTATCCTCACCGGCCCTGTCCTCACCAGGGTCGTCGCCTAACCGGTAACGCAGGCTCAGGGGTAAGGTAACATTGGGGTAACGGGGGCTCAGGGGTAACACTGGGGTAACGCCGGCTCAGGGGTAACATTGGGGTAACGCGGCGTTTGGGGTAACATTGGGGTAACATTGGGGTAACGCCAGTTCAGGGGTAACATTGGGGTAACGGGCTCTGGGGGCAACATTGGGGTAACGCCGGTTCAGGGGTAACATTTGGGGTAACATTTTAGGGCAACGCGGGCTCTGGGGATAACATTGGGGTAACGCCGGCTCAGGGGTAACATTGGCTCAGGGGTAACATTGGGGTAACGCAGGATCAGGGGTAACATGTGGGTAACGCGGGCTCAGGGGTACATTGGGGTAACGCGGGCTTAGGGGTAATATTGGGGTAACGGGGGCTCTGGGGGTAACATTGGCTCCTCTCTCTGGGCCCTCTCTGGCCTTCACTCACCCCCTAAGCGCCCTCACTAGAAACGAGGGCCCTCACTCCCCCTCACTCCCCCAGTGAGGGCCCTCACTCCCGTCAAGGGCCCTCACCAAGGGCCCCACTCCAGCGAGGGCCCGCACTCCCCGAAGCGTGTTCACTAAAGGCTCTCACTTCTCCAGCGAGCCCTCACTCCTCGTAAGGGCCCTCACTTTCCTCACTCCCACTATCCTCCGCCGTGTAGTGGCCGCCGCCGCGTCGTCGCCTCGTCGTCCCGTCGCCGCGTCGTCGCTGTCATCGCGTCGTCGCCATAAGAGCCCTGGTCCTCATATCATCCGGTATCCTTCCACGCGGCTCCGGGGGTAACATTGGGGTCATGGGGCTCGGGGCGGAACATTTGGGGTAACATTGGGGCAGCGGCGTTTGGGGCAACATTTTGCGTTAACGCGGCTCTGGAACACGGGGGTAACATTGGGGTAACGCCGGCTCAGGGTAACATTTTGGGGTAACGTCGGTTTAGGGGTAATATTGGGGTAACGTCTGGGATAACATTGGGGTAATGCCGGCACAAGGGTAACATTGGGGTAACGCGGGCTCTGGGGGGAACATTTGGGGTAACATTGGGGCAACGCGGGCTCAGGGTAACATTGTTTAACGCGGCTCTGGGGGGAACATTCGGGGTAACATTGGGCTAACGCCGGCTCAGGGACATTTGGGGTAACATTGGGGTAACGCGGCTCTGGCTTTGAGCCCCAGGTTAGAGGGCAGTGAAGGGCCCTCTAATCTCTGGGACTTCTCTCGGGCTGTGCGTCCCAGGTTAAGAGGGGCGAAGGGCTTCTAATCTCTGGGGCTTCTTTCGGGCTTTGAGTTCCAGGTTAGAGGCAGCGAAGGGCCTCTGGGGCTTCTCTTGGGCTTTGCGTCCCAGGGTTTAGAGGGCAGTGAAGGGCTTCTAATCTCCTGGGCTTCTTTCGGGCTTTGAGTCCCAGGTTAGAGGGCAGTGAAGGGCCTCTAATCTCTGGGGCTTCTCTCGGGAGGGCAGTGAAGGGTTTCGGGCTTTGAGTCCCAGGGAGGGGTTCAGTGGAGGGCCTCTAATCTTTGGGGCTTCTCTGACTCTCGGGCTTTGAGTCCCAGAATGGGCCTGAAAAAAGTAGTGATCTTTGGGCTTCCAAGGGCCTGGTGGGCCTGAGAATGGCGGCCTCTAATCTTTCGGGCAAGGAGGGCCTGCGTGGTCAGTCGTCTCCGCGTCCCCTCCCCCCCGTGTTGCGTCGTCGTCGCAGTGTCGTTGCCGCTACGTCGTGTCGTCCTCCCCGCATCGTCTCCCGGCACATCGTCCTTCCGCATCGCCGTCCCGTCGGAGGGGAACAGTTGGGGTGGAGGGCTGAGGGGCTGCTGGAGGATTGGGCTGGAGGGCAAGAGCCGAGAGGACAGTGAGTGGGAGAGCTTGAAGGGCAATGAAGCGCCTCTAATTTGTTGTTTTCCAAGACAAACTGGGCTGCAAAGGCTGGGGGGCTGAAGGGGCTGGAGAGGCTGGAGAGGCTGGAAAGGAGGGGGGCTGGAGGGGCTTGGAGGGGCTTGGAGGGGCTGTGGAGGCTGGAGAGGCTGGAAGGCTGATGGGGCTGGAAAACCTGGAGGGCGAGGGGCTGGAGGGGCTAGAGGGCCTGGAGAGGCTGGAGAGGCTGGAGAGGCCCTTTGGCGCCTGGTTTTCAGGCCCGCCCCCCAAGGGCTGCAGCGAAGCTCGTACCTCGTCGTCGCCCTCGTCGTCGTCGCCACATCGTGGTCTTGTCATTGCTTGTCCTCACCACTTCTTAGGATTGAGGATTCGAGTGATGCGTGTGTGCGTGTGTGCGTGCGCGTGCGTTTGCGTCTGTGTGTGCGCGTGCGTGTGCATCTGCGTTTGCGTTTGCGTGCGCGTGTGCTGCAGCGACTGCCTGGGAGTCGCCGCGTCGTCGTCCCGCGTCCCGCTCCCATCGTCGCCTCGTCCCATCCTCGCCGCGTCGTCGCTCGTCGTCGCCGCGTCGTGGTCCCCGCCGCGTCGCCGTCGTCGTCAGCCGGTTCCAGCCCACCATGTCATGCCTCGGGTGAACCAAGTGTTGGCTCACACGAGTGCGCCTAACCCACCGTGGTCGTCGTCGTCGTCGGGTGGTTGTGCTCGCCGCCGCCGGTTGGCAGTGTTTGGCGCGGGCCGGGGGACAGAACACGACAGGACCCCGGGGGCAAAACATGAGGGCCACACCGGCACTTCCGATTCTGACAACGTGAATCAAACTTCCCGGCAAGGCCTGGCACAGCTACAGATCTTGTTATGCCCTTCTTTCCGCACAGTTATGGCGTCGACTGGGAGTTGGCTCTCTCCGCCATCTGCACCTTCTCGTCCATGAGCAGCGACTGGGGGAGGGCCTGGGGCTGCAGCGAACAGTGAGGCCTGGACTGGGGGCAGCGACATTGAGGCTGGGCTGCTGGAGGGGGAGGGGCTGGGCTGGGGGCTGGAGGGGCAGCGAGGCTGGGAACTGCTGCAGCGATGCGTCGTCGCCGCGTCGTCGCGTCATCACTGCGTCGTCGTCGCCACATCGTCCTCGTCGTCGCGTCGTCGTGTCATCCGTGCCCGCCTCTATCCTCACCCCTCCGCTATCCCCCCCTTATCCTCACCCCCCGCCTCTCACCACCAGTGCTGGTCGTCGCGCTGTCGTGTCCATCCGTCCCCGCCTCTATCCTCACCGCTATCCTCACCCGTATCCTCACCCCCCGGCCCTCACCACGAGCGCTCGTCGTCGCCGCGTCGTCGTCGCATCGTCGCCGCGTCGTCTCGTCGTCTTCCTCACCTTGGGTTGGTAGCGAGGGCTGAGAGGGCGAGGCGGCTGTGAACCCAAGGCGCACCCGTGTCGCATCGTCATCGCGTCGTCGTCGCCGCCCCATCGACAGCGTCGCACTGGCAGGTCCGTACCAAATCCAGCGCGTTGTAGCGGCCTAAGGGGATGCGAGGGGCTGCCCACTCAGCGCAGGATGTGTCTCACGACAGAACAAAGCAAACAATGCAGCCAAGGGGCATTCTTCAAGGAATTCGTGCGTTTTGTCCTTGTGCCCGTGAAGGTTCAGCAATTCCTTGGCCTCGTCCTTGGTCAAGTCGCTTACCCAACAGTTTTCCTGACGCTCCTGTCCACCGGCATCGAAGAGCATCAACAAGCTTGGAGCTGAGCATCAGCAGGGTTGCAAATGAGCATCCGGCAAAGCTAGTTTGGAGGGGCCGGGCAACCCTCCAAAGTTTGATGAGCAGACTGTTGTTGGAGCTGTGGAGCTGCAGCTTGGGCACTTGGAACGAGCAGTGAATCAGCATGGCAGAAGCTTGCTACGAGTAGCGCCTCTGCCCGCACACTCAGAACTGTCCGACATGAGCCTTAGTCCTGCAGGAGTTCTAAACGAATGCACAGTCTGTACGATGCGAATCGCTGCTGCGCGAGGCTCAGGCCCAGGAAACCTGACGAAGCAGGGCAGACTCAGAGGTATGGAGGTGTTCAAAACAGCGCCAGTCTAGATCAACTTGGCCAAGGTCTCAGCTATGGCTGCTGATGACTCGGCGCGGCCTGGCACAGCTACGGATGCACCCCAAGATTGTCGGCATGCAGCCAGCGCTCCCGCAAGCCGATCTTTTTTCAGCACAGCTACGGTTCAGAATGTCGGCCGCGGCTTCTGCGTGCAGCTCGGAGGCGAACCGGTACTTCCTGTCCTGCATATGCCAGATGACCGGGTGGGCGTCGTTGTCCCGGATCCACTGTGCGACATCTCTTGGCTGCGCGCCACTGCCGCCAGTCAACTCCCCGACGCCCGTGCCACCATCTTTGCGGTCTTGCACCAGGGCCCTCAAAATGTTTTCGCCTGCAGGAGTGAGGCCGCGGAGCGTCTTCATGTCGCAATTCATGAAGAGTTCCACTTCAACGCGGGCCTTCGCCTCCCTCTCCGCCTTCTTGGCTGCCAGCGTCTCCGGCCCCTCGTAGTCTCCACAGGTTAGGTCCAAATCCAGAACACGGTAGCCGCCTGAAGGATACTCCAACCAGTGCAGCGCAGGGCCCCTCACGACAAAACAAAGCAAACAATGCGGCCCAGACGCAGGCTTGTACGAATTGCTCCCAATCCTCCTGGTGCCCGCGGAGGGCCAGAAACTCCTTGGCTTCGTCATCAGTAAGGTCCTCCACCCAATAGTTCTTCTGACATTGGTCGCCGCCGGCATCGAAGGCCATGGCCATAGCAGCCGACGATGCACACACGATCACCTCGGAAGAAACCCTGTGGACAGCTTGCACAAGACCCTACCGCAGCACAGCGAAACAGGGCGGCTGAGTCTTCGGGTCCCGGCGTGGACCAGCTTGCTGTCCGACGACAGATTCTTGGCGAAGCTGGAAATCGTGTCCATGCCTCGGAATGCAGCAAAGCAAGTAGCCAAGGGAAACGAAAGCCCTAACGCCCCCCGCCTTGCTTCGTGGTTCGTGGGATGTCAAGCAGCAGGATGGGCGGCCTCTTCAGCTTGTCACCCACTCGACGAAGAACCTCCTCGAGCATGTCCGGCCCATCCAGGCCCAAGCGCTTGAAGAGCTCCTCCTTCCAGTCGTTGCCGTCTACCTGGTGGACGAAGACACCCTGCATGTCGCGCAGGGCTTCTTCGACAGCCACGGTTTTGCCGGCGCCGAAGCGCCCCGAGATGATGGTTGCATGCTGCTTCCAGTGCAGGATCCGCTCTTCGATGGTTTTCATGATGCCGCGCTGGACTACTTCGGCTTTCTTTTTCTTTGGGGTAAAGGGCTCTATCATGCGGTCCGCCGCAGCTTGGGTTCTGCCCTCTTTAGACTCCCGCTGGGCTCTCTCGGAGTCCCGCTGGGCAATCCCAGCCTGGACAAAAGCGACGACGGCAGCTGCCACAGTCCCCGTGGCAGCAAACAGATTGACCATGAAGTCCTTGGGTAGGCCCTGGTCGTCACCAGGCAAACCACACGCTCGGAGCTTCGCCGGTGGTCTCTCCAAACACGCAGTTCCTCCAGACAACGTGACCTCGCTTACAGCACGCATGCGGAGATCTAAGAGCCTGATGTTGAAACCCCGGCCTTCCTGGCGGAGAGAGGCAAATCTCGTTTCCCAGGAGGTTGTGGCACCTGCCGGACAAACAAAGGCTCTCGGGCCTGCAAGCTCCATGTCCAAAACACCCCCCAGCCTTACTTGTGGCGAGCGGGAGCGGCCGACCGGAAAGCTGAAAACACAGTGTCTGCGCCTGCGCAGCAAGATTGGGGTGTTGACACCACAGCAGCGGACCGACTCCGGCCTGGAATACAGACCCCAAACCAGAACACAGATTGACCAGGAAGTCTTTGGATTGTACCAGCCACCTGGCAATGTCAAGGTCGCGGTGCTCAGAAACGGGCTTCCGGTGGCCGTGCCATCCTGCCAGCGTGGCCTGCAGGAAGCAGGACACCCAACAACATGCAGCAAAACAGCTCTCGCTCTCTGAGCTGGCGCGGCAGATCACAGCCTGAGGTGGCAACCACGTCGCGGCCACAAGAGCCAGCAAGAGCTTCCCAAGCGTACGCTTCACAGCCATGGCTAGCGACACGAACTCAAAAGATCGCTGATGCAGCCACGCTGCGCTGTTCAAGAGCCCTAGTGGCACTCGTCAACGCGCAATCGAGACACAACACTGGCTGCACCTGCAAGGGGCTTCCGCGTTGAGGGGTGCAACCTCTGCCTACCAGTCCTACCAGGAGATGCGGCCGTTCCCGCTGACTCAAGCCACTCCTACCACGCACCTCCGTCAACCCTAGACCACCAAACCATCAGCCTCGCGAAGTGCTCCACAAGACGACCGCAGCACGACCTGGGCGATGAGGAGGGGGGCCAAAGGGATGGAGCTGCAAGACACTCAGCATCTGGAATATGTTGCACAATCGCAGTGACCGACATCACTGCAAAGACCACGCAGAAGAGACTCCGCGAAGACGAAGGCCTGGCAAAACAAGCAAGAGATGGCGGGGGAACTCTTCAAGCACGCAACCGCACAGAAAGCCGCATCAAAACACTGCAGCTGCAGCGCCTCTTTCTGACTTCTCTTCTAAGGCTTGTTGATTGCACGCTTGGAGCACTCGGACTGCGTTCTGTACACGACGACGTGCCTACTCAGCTTCAGTCAAGTCATCATCCGTAGTGTCCGGGATGGCCTCCGCAGCGTTGGAGAAGACACTTGTTTTAAGTGCTCCCGCTGACATCTCATTCATGAAATCGTTCTTGGACATCGCAGCCGTCTCTGCGAACAGATTGATAAGGTGCGGCAGGGCGGCAGCGCAATAAATCTCCCGTGTTTTCTGGCGTGCTCCTAAGAGCAGCCCAGGCTCGTTGCAGAGCATGAGGCGGTGTACCCTGCCCTCGAAACGCTTGGCGTGGAACTCCGAGGAGAGCAAATGGATCTCCAGGACCTCGACGAGGGAAAGACGTGGCTCCACAGCTAACATTTCCACCTGATACCGAGACAAGCGTTGACCCATGCATGTGGAACGAGTGCGGCCAACCTTGTAGTAGGCGACCCCGTCAGCATCCACAGCTTTCAGCAGATGGACCATGAAGTACAGCGATTTCTCGAGCACTGCTTGGACTTCCAAGTCCATGGCATTGAGACATAGAGTATGCATGCCCGTGGTCGTCAGTGGAGCATGAAACCTCCGCAATTGCATCTCGAGCTTGCAGATTTTCTCCGTCATGGAGGTCCGCTTGCTCGATAGACCGCTGGGGTTGTCCACCCATGTCGGCCTCGCGTACTTCGTGTTCGGCTTCCATAGCAACGCCGGAGTGGCCTGCACCTGGCACAGGGCTGACAGGGAAAAACGCCACCTTTCCCGCTGGAGGGCTGTTTTTTTTTTCTGCTGGACAGGCGCCGCTCCTCCATCAGGAGAGGCGGCGCCTTTCTGACATGGGTGGCAACATTTGCGTGGCAACATTTGCGTGGCAACAGTTGCGTGGCAACAGTTGCGTGGCAACATTTGCGTGGCAACATTTGCGTGGCAACAGTTGCGTGGCAACATTTGCGTTGCAACATTTGCGTGGCAACATTTGCGTGCCAACATATGCGTGCCAACATTTGCGTGGCAACATTTGCGTGGCAACATGTGCGTGGCAACATTTGGCATTCCGGGTTACGTCACAGTGCTGCACGCGTGTTCGTCGTCGCGTCGTCGTCGTCGTCGTCGTCGCCTCGTCGTGTCATCGCCCCCCGCGCTTCTATCCTCATCCCTATCCTCACCGGCAGCCCCCTATCCTCACCACCAGCGCTGGTCGTCGTGCGCTCGTCGTCATCCCTCCCCCCGCCTCTATCCTCACTATCCTCGCCCCCTATCCTCACCCCGGGTCCTCACACCACCAGCGCTGGTCGTCGTGCGCTCGTCGTCATCCCTCCCCCCGCCTCTATCCTCACCGGTAGCCCCCTATCCTCACCGGTATCCTCACCCCGGTCCTCACCACCCACGCCGGCCTCGTCCTCACCCCTATCCTCACCTATCCTCACCGGTAGCCCCAAACCTCACCCTGGGCCCTCACACCACCAGCGCTGGTCGTCGTGCACTCGTCGTCCCCCCGCCTCTATCCTCACCGGTAGCCCCTCACCATCACCCCCGGTCCTCACCACCCGCGCCGGCCTCGTCGTGTCATCGGCCCCCACCTCTATCCTCACCACTATCCTCACCCCTATCCTCACCGGCCCTGTCCTCACCAGGGTCGTCGCCTAACCGGTAACGCAGGCTCAGGGGTAAGGTAACTTTGGGGTAACGGGGGCTCAGGGGTAACATTGGGGTAACGCGGCGTTTGGGGTAACATTGGGGTAACATTGGGGTAACGCCAGTTCAGGGGTAACATTGGGGTAACGGGCTCTGGGGGCAACATTGGGGTAACGCCGGTTCAGGGGTAACATTTGGGGTAACATTTTAGGGCAACGCGGGCTCTGGGGATAACATTGGGGTAACGCCGGCTCAGGGGTAACATTGGCTCAGGAGGAAACCATGGAGTTTGTGTAACAGCTTCGCACGCGGATGAAAGCACGGGATTCAGCTTAGTCTCCCCAAACACCCTCAAGCGCCCTGCCGTTAACCCAAAACTGTTGCACAAGCACAAGTTAGGGGACGTCCCTTGGCTTCGGTCCTAGAAGCCGAGGTGATTTCTCGCCTGTTGCAACAAGCACAGCAAGCAACGACTACCTTATGGGGTTGACTTAAGGCACCCTGTAGCGCCCAGAACTGAACTTGGGCGCTTAGGCTAAGGCCATTGAAAAGCCCGAAACCGAGGTTTTAGAGTCGAAGGGGTTTAAGGGACTGCGGTAATGTCTGAGAAAATTGTGGAGTTTACGAAGTCACAGGCCTGCACAAAAACTTCCATTCGGACCCCATGCACACAGCCCCGACGCAAGCGCAGGAGCGAAGTCTACAAAATCTTGTTCGCGAAGCTGCAGAACTCGTAGCAACTTCAGGGCTTCCAGCACTGCCTGCAAATTCATTCACCTTGTGACAGAAGACATCAATGGCTGCAGCACATTACCGATGAAGGCTGAATTTTTTGGCCATCCATCAAACTGCTGGCCAAACTGAACCGGGTCTTTTTGGCCAACCAGATCAGTCATGAGGATCTGAATGTCCGTCTCCTGCGAAGCCCTTGTGAAAACTGGTTGTCCCAGAAAATCGATCCACTTAAATTTGTCACCGAGCAAAACTACGTTTGCGAGGCGTGGGTCTCCATGGACGAAGCCTTTCAAGTGTAGTTGGCGCAAGGCTTCGACAAGGTCTCGCCACTTCGCCTGAGCCGTGTCGACTGGTACCGGCGTACCAACATCACCGAGGATGTGAAACCATCCCAAAACCTTGTCGCTTTCTACGACCTCGATGCAGTCTGATGAAGGAGCCACTACTGGGCAGCCCTGCTGGCAGGCCCTCTTCATGACTTCGACCTCTGCTCCGGGGCTAAATCCGTTTGGCACGCCAACTGCGAGAACGGCCTTGATGGCAATCCGTTCAATTTCCTCATCTCGCTTGCGTTGCGCTTCCAAAACACGTCCGAATGCTCCGCTGCCTAGGAAAGCAATGGGAACAGCGCCAGCCTGTCGCAGAGATTGGCGCAACAACCGTTCCCATGGATTGTACTGAGAAAGAAAATCGCGTAGGAGCTTTTTCCCTCCAGGAGCGGACCAAGCCCCACAAATCCTTTCTAAGAGCGCTTTGCGGCTCCCAGGTTGCCCAGCCACGTGGTACAGCTCAAAGCCGCGTTTATCGAAAACCATGCCCCTTGCATGCTTGGAAGGAAGGCGACATAGATACTCATACAGCTGACCACGGCTGTCATCATTGATCGCCAACTTCGCTTCAAAGACAGACACACAATCGAGCATCTCCTTGTACGGCGTGCCACTAGATGCATTGCCATCGTACACCATACATCGAAACAAATCAGGTGACAAGCCGCTTTCAGGCCAACGGCGATTTTGCGAGTCGACGATCTTGTCCTCTGGGAACAACGATCTCAAGATGGGCAAAGTGAAAGCCACCAGGTCCTTCTCCGTGCTCTGCCCGGTAAGACTGCTTAGTTGTTTGCCATCAAGGACAGGCTCGCCGGTGCGTTCCCGTAGTTCTTGATCTTTGGTGTCGGGTCCATACGCGTCTTTCCACAGAGCAGTCCGAGAGACCGTCAGCCCGGTGACCATTGCTTCCTTTACCGCTGCTTTCACCACCAATGCCAAGTCTGTCAAAGTGCTTTCAACCTGAAGGCAATGACACAGCTAACTGACATTAGATACGTTTGCTGGCCCCTCAAGCACAAGCAACGACACGCCTTAGAGTGAAAGACAATAATAACGAAAAGAATGCTCCTCTTTGCAACCAGATTTGTGTGAAACCTGAAGCTGCCAAGAGCCCTCTGCTCCAAAAGCCCCAACACAGTGCAGACACCTTAACGACGAGGGGCTGAGTGGAAAGCAGCACCCCAACAAGCAACAACGGTGGCCCCACGAAAACGCACGACGACCAAGAGCCCGGACATGCAGGAGTGCTAGGCAATATGCCCACGCAGAAGCCCCCTGCACTCGTCTTGCCGGAACCCCACCGCTGTGCAAGGTCCACGTGCTAAAGGCACTAAGAACCCAGGTCCCTTGACTCCCCCTCACGGACTAACCTGAAAGTCGAGCCTCAAACAAAAACACCCGCAACCTGGAGAGCGCAAAGCAAGCGCAAAACAGGCTGACGCCCCCACCTCGAGCCTAGGACTGACACCCCGTTCTGAAGCATCGGCAAAACACGAAGAGCAACCAGATTTGCATGAACCTAAAGCAGCCAAGAGCCCTCTGATCCGAAAGCCCCTCCCGCTCCCCGAAGTGCTGCAAGCCAACACAGTGAAGCTTAGCGACGAGCGGAATCCTTGCTGAGAGGAGAGCATGACCCCTGCACACGCAGAAGCGCAAAAGCCCCACCGGCCTGAAGGGGTGCTGTTGATTTGGCTTTCTCGAGCTCCTCATTGGCCTTTTTGGCCTCCTTCTCGGCCCTTTCGGCCTCCTCCTTCGCCGTGTCAACCTTCGACTCGGCCTTGTTGAACGCCTCCGTGGCCTCCTTGATCTCTTTTTGGTTGCGGTTCTGTACGGCTAGCCGAAGCCTTTGGCGCGCAAAGTCCCGATCCTCCCGGGCTCCTTCCAGATCCTTCTGGGCTCCTTCCCATTTCTTCACAGCCATGTCGAAACATTTCTGTGAAAAAGTGTCCTGCCAGGCCAGGCCCAGTAGCCGAACAAGGTTCGCACAGAGCGCAGGTCGGAGCTTGAAGCTTTCACGCCCTTCAAACTTCAAACTCGGACATTGCCAGCTCTGGCCTTCTCGGTGGATTCGTCGAAGCCTTTGTCCTGCAAAAACCACAACCACGCCACGAATGTTTGAAAATACCGGCTCTGAGACGTGCTGCCAGCATCAATCCACATCAAACAAACAACTGTCTAGAGCCGGAGCACCTCCTTGATCTGCCCTGTCTCCTGAACCGTCTTCTGCAACTGCTCCTCCTGGGCAAAGGCCACAATCTGCAATTGCGAACTTCCAAGAGCCCGCTCAGATGCAGCGCATTGGCCCACAACAAGCAAGGCAAGCAACAACACCCTCGGAGGCACAGCCTGCTTGGCATCTTCGACCGGGTCAGCGGTCTGTGCTGAGGCAGCCTGCATAAGCAACCAATCAAGCCCATCGAAATACGTCTGAAGCTCCCTGGCCCACCACACCGAAAGGACAAAAACCACCAAAGCAAGAGACATCGCAAAGCGCCTCGTCCACTGCCTTGTTTCGCGAAACCTGCAGCAAGGGGCACATTCTCAAAAATGCTAGTGTCAGCGAGCCTTCACCTGCCTGATCGAAGCTTGCTAGAACTGCGAAGCCCTCACCAGCAAGAACAGGCTCCCTGAAAGTGCCTCGGTCGTCGCCTCTTTCACGTCATCCTTTTCTTTGGGGGCCTCCCAACATGGACTGATCCCGAAAAGACCTACATGTGCTGCTGGCAGGACACTCGGGCAGGAGCGAAAGAAACGCCATCAGAACAGCACAAGGAACGCCACGCCGAAACGACAAACCCTTTTCGCCTTGACGTCTTCATGGTCTTCGGCCTCACCACGGCCCAAAGTGCCATCAGCCTCAGCTCTTCAGGACATACGCTTAACACTGAATTTCCTGTCGGTCTCGGCTTCCCGCCTTGGCCCTGCGTGCGACCAGCAAGTTCTGTGCCCATATTCCCGGAGGAACCGACCTCGCTCTGGCTTGCGGATCTTCGGCGTTCCATGCCAAACATCACATCCCACCTTGGAAACTGCACGGGCCCCGCTCCTAGCAAAGCCCGCGCCGTCTGCGTTGCTCGCCTGAAGCTACGCGGGAACACATCTAACAGTGTTCAAGGCGCTGGTCTTAGGCTCTGGCTGACACACCAAGAAGAGCGCCAGTAGCACAAGCACGCGCCCGACCTTGCGCAATGTTGCTGGAGGCCGGCTCATGGCGGCAATCGTCCTAGCTGTCCTCTGGCTCGAGCAAAAGCACTGCAATCTGCATGAACGAATGGTCGAGCTCCCCCTATTTCAGTCACGGGCCAAGTGTTTAGTTAGCCAACTGCAATTCAACATGCGCAGCAGTTGCAAGTGTGCACAGGCAACTGCTGCAAGATGCTTCGGTCGGGGTTCTCAGCAGGGATCGGGCCTTGCGGCAGCACACTCCCCCAAAGCCCATGAAATGTGAAACCTTCCCCATGAAATGTGAAACCCTGAGGGTGGGAGGGGGATGGTGGGGGTGGGAGGGCCTGGTGGGCAGTGACGGGCCTGTAATCTTTCGAGCGCCCTGGCCGGCGCCCCGCGACGCGTGGCCCACCTGCGTGAACCGTGACGTTTGTGCGGCCCCACGTGCCCCCGTGACCCTGTGACGTCCCTGACCCCGTGGACCCCGTGACCCCGTGCCCCCGTAACCCTGTAACCCGGTGGACCCCGTGCTTCCCGTAACCCCGTAACCCCGTGACCCCCCCCGTGCCCCCCGTAACCCCGTAACCCCGTAACCCCGTGACCCCCCCCCCCGTGCCCCCCGTAACCCCGGACCCCGTGACCCCGTGCCCCCCCATAACCCCGTAACCCCGTGACGCCGTGGACTCCGTGCCCCCCATAACCCCGTAACCCGTGACCCCGTGACCCCCCCCCCATGCCCCCCCCCCCCGTGACCCCCCCCCATGCCCCCCGTAACCCCATAACCCCCCCGTGACCCCCGTGCCCCCACCCCGTGTAACCCCCGTAACCCGTAACCCCGTGACCCCCCCCGTGCCCCCCGTAACTCCGTAACCCCGTGACCCCGTGACCCCGTGCCCCCCCGTAACCCCGTAACCCCGTGACCCGTGGACTCCGTGCCCCGCGTAACCCCGTAACCTGTAACCCCGTGACCCCCCCCCCCCCCCCGCTTCCCCATCTCGGCTCGAAAAGGTCACGGGGCCACGGGGTTACGCTTCCCCATCCCGGCTCGAAAGGGTCACGGGGTTACGGGGTTACGCTTCCCCATCCCGGCTCGAAAGGGTCATGGGGTTACGGGGTTACGCTTCCCCATCCCGGCTCGAAAGGGTCACGGGGTTACGGGGTTGGGTCACGGGGTTACGGGGTTACGCTTCCCATCCCCGAAAGGGTCACGGGGTTACGGGGTTACGCTTCCCATCCCGGCTCGAAAGGGTCACGGGGTTACGGGGTTACGGGGTTACGGGGTTACGCTTCCCAGTCCACCCAGAGAAACAGCACAGCCACTCCCGAGGTGCGCAGGACAATCAGCCGAAACACACCCTAAACCCTGCCTGCCGATGTGCTCGAAGATGTTGAAGAGGATGGCAAAAGAGCACCTGGGCCGCGAGAGGGGGCCCGGGGTTCCCGGAGAGGCGGGGGAGACGCAGGTAGAGCTACAGGGGAAGGGGAGGAAGGGCAGCACAGGGCACTCCTGGGCGCACACTGACCAGACCTCGCTGCCTCGGAGCCCCTTGCCTACCAACTTAAACCCTAAACCTTGAACCTCTGCGGCGTCAGGCTCGGGAAAGCGGGGCGTGACTTGTGACTTCTGGGTGTCGGGCTCGGGAAACACGGGCGTGACTTTTGGGCGTCAGCCTCGAGAAAGCGGGGCGTGACTTGTGACTTTTGGGCGTCGGCCTCGGGAAAGCGGGGCGTGACTTGTGACTTCTGGGTGTCGGGCTCGGGAACACGGGCGTGACTTGTGACTTTTGGGCCTCGGCGCGACAAAGAAGGGCCACTTGCCTCCGAAACCCGCTAAAAAAAGGCACGCCTCAATTCCAGGCAAGTCGCCACCCGAGCCCCCGAACCCCAAAAGTCACGCCCCTCCCCTCCGGCCCAACTCCCAAAAAGTCACGCCTCAATTCCCGGCCCAGGCCCCCCAAAAGTCACAAGTCACGGCCCTTTCTCCCGGCCCAGGCCCCCCAAAAGTCACAAGTCACACCCCTTTCTCCCGGCCCAACTCCCAAAAAAGTCACGCCTCAATTCCCGGCCCAGGCCCCCCCAAAAGTCACAAGTCACGGCCCTTTCTCCCGGCCCCGAAACCCAAAAGTCACGCCTCAATTCCCGGCCCAGGCCCCGCAAAAGTCACAAGTCACGGCCCGTTCTCCCGGCCCAGGCCCCCCAAAAGTCACAAGTCACACCCCTCTACTCCGGCGCCAAAACCCCAAAGTCACGCCTCAATTCCCGGCCCAGGCCCGCAAAAGTCACAAGTCACGGCCCGTTCTCCCGGCTCCCGCCCTAAAAAGTCACGCCCCCTCCCCCCCCCCTGGAAACCCAAAAAATCGCCCCAAAAATGCGCTCTGTCTGCACTCAGAGCGCCTGGCGAGGATGATCGAAGATGTCGAGGAAGGTCACAACGAGCGCCTGACCACAAGGGAGGGGCCCGAGGGTCCCGGGGAAGGGTGGGGACGCAGGGCACTCCTGACTCCTACCTGCACAGAGTCCGAACCTAGCAGCCTCGGAACCCCTTTGCCTGCCAACCTTTAACCTCGAAGCCTTGCGGTGTCCAGCTCGCAGCGAAGACGTCGAAGAGGAACCTGAGCCACCAGAGAAATTCCGGGAAGGGAAGGGAGCGGTCGGGCACTGTAGAACTACAGGGGGAGGGGAGCTGACCAGACCTCGCTGCCTCGGAGCCCGGCTGCCAGCAATGGAGACGAGGAGCACCTGATCACAGGAGGGGGCCCGGGGGTGCAGGGCACTCTCGCGTTACAGCGGGGGAGAGAGGGAGGGGGCAGACAGCATGCAAGCACTCCTGCGCGCACTCGGACTAGACCTCTCTGCCTCAGAGCCCCTAAGCCTGCGAACAAAACCCGACCCTGAAACCTTGCAGCACAGACAAACCTCACTGCCTCGGAGCCCCTGAACCTGCGAACAAACCCCCAACCCTGAAACCTCTGCACCCCCCGGCTCGAAGTAACGGAGAAGACGAGGCGAGAGGGGCCTGGGGTTCCCGGGAGGGGAGGGGGTGCAGGGCACTCTAGCTACAAGGCGGGGCAGCACGCAGCACGCAAGGCACTCCTGGACCAAACCTCTCTGCTTCGGAGCCCCCTACGCCTGCGAACAAAACCCGACCCTGAACCTCTGTAGCGCCCGGCGTTCGGCCCTGTGTCGACCATCCCCCCGGAACCTAAAGACTTTGATTTCTCATAAGGTGCAGAAGGAGTCGTATGAGTAAAACGACCTCTAATCTCTAGTTGGCATGTGTCTATTGCTGCCGCTTCGAGGCGAGCGCGGGTCACAAAAAAACCATGCAAAAATCAAACAATGCATAAAAAGCGTGCCAAAACCCATGCGAAAATCAAGCCAATCATGCAAAAAAATCCCGTCACAAAACCGTCGTGCCCAAAAAACACGCAGAACCATGGTTTAGGGTTTAGGGGGGGGGGGGCGTTTACTCCTTTGAGGTCTCGTCCTCCGGAGGCCGCCCCCGCTCGGGCGACGACCATTTTTCCGGGCGGTGTGTTCAAAAGCATGGACCGGTTCCTCGTGAATCCCCGTCCCAAACCGCAGCCCAAGCCACAGCCAAAGAATCTGATGGAGAAGGTCATCTCGATCAAGCACGACGAAAGCTTAGTCGAGAACCCATGTTTGCACGCGGTGGCGCGGGAGTGGGCGACCCGACTGGACGTGACCCCCATGGCCGCGAGCCAGCTGATCGTGGCCTTCTGGCGGCTGCCCGCCAGGCCCTACCAGCCCCAGGAGAGGCCCCCGCCGGAAAGGTTCTCTCTGACCGAGAAGGCCCTGTCTTTGAAGCCGCTGCAGGGTTGGTTCGAGTCGCGCGACGTCTTCGCGTGCAGCCGGAAGCTCGCGGCGGAGCGGAAGGCCCTGAAGTGGCCGAAGCTCGAGGACGTGTCGCTCAATCTTTTGGGGCGGAACGCCTGCCACGCGGTGCTCGAGTGCATCTGGCCGCTGCGCAAACACTGGAAGAGGCAAGTCCTTCGAGCGCTCGGCGCGTGCACGCACTGGACGAGGAGCCACCGGGAGAAGTGGGAGATACCACGTCTTCAACGGGCACGCGCTGAGGGCGGCCCGCTCGGGCGACGACTTTTTTTCCGGACGGTTGGTTCAAAACACTCATGAGCTGGGCTCAGCAACGACACGCCATCAAACTAGCAGCCGAGGCCGGGGTCAGGGCGAGGACCACGGCGGCAGGCTCAGAAACCCTCCCTTTGACACACAACCACCTCCGCTACGCGATGCTCAGCCGCCCGAACGGTGAGCTCACGAGAGCGGGCCATGCAGTTCTGCTACCAGCTGATCGGCCGGCCGCCCCCCAGCCGGCAGTACGACCGCACCCAGCCCTTGATCCGCGAGGGGCCCTCGGACTACATCCTCCTGCGGGGCGGCGTGAAAAAGCTCGTCCGGAGCCTCCAGCCGGACGGGAACTACCACCTCACGAAGCTCGGGAAGAGCTTCTTCAAGGACAAGTGGACGGACTGGCTGGCCCACGTGCCGGTCATCATCCGCGGCGTCCGGCGCAGGGGCCGGAACGCCGGCAACGGCTACGAGCGGACCAAGTACCTCCCCGTCACTACGCTGAACGCCACGCTGTCCCGGCAGAGCGACGGCCTCCTACCGGTGAGGATAGAGGCGGGGGGAGGGATGACGACGAGCGCACGACGACCAGCGCTGGTGGTGAGGATAGGGGGCTGCCGGTGAGGATAGGGATGAGGATAGAAGCGCGGGGGGCGATGACACGACGAGGCGACGACGACGACGACGACGACGCGACGACGAACACGCGTGCAGCACTGTGACGTAACCCGGAATGCCAAATGTTGCCACGCACATGTTGCCACGCAAATGTTGCCACGCAAATGTTGGCACGCATATGTTGGCACGCAAATGTTGCCACGCAAATGTTGCAACGCAAATGTTGCCACGCAACTGTTGCCACGCAAATGTTGCCACGCAAATGTTGCCACGCAACTGTTGCCACGCAACTGTTGCCACGCAAATGTTGCCACGCAAATGTTGCCACCCAAGCCGCGCCAAATGTTGCCACCCAAATGTTGCCACCCAAGCCGCGCCAAATGTTGCCACCCAAATGTTGCCACCCAAATGTTGCCACCCATATGTTGCCACCGAAGCCGCTGCTCTCTCTTATGCTGCCGCCTCTCTCTTATGCTGGCGTCTCTAGCCCCACCAGAGATCGTCGTACTCAGAGCTGATTCAAAACTCGAACGGGGGACCTCAGCGCAGCGCAGGTGTACCCAGCGCAGCGCAGGTGTACCCGGTGTACCCGCAGGTTCACCGGGTACACCGGGGAGGGGGCGACGACGCGACGACGACGATGCGACGACGAGGCGCACCCCTGCCAGCAACCCTTAGAGGCCTCTCACTGCGCTCCTGACCCCTGCCAGCAACCCTTAGAGGCCTTCTGCGCTCCTGACCCCTGCCAGCAACCCTTAGAAGCCTCTCACTGCGCTCCTGACCCCTGCAGCAACCTTAGAGGCCTCTCACTGCGCTCCTAACCCCTGCCAGCAACCCCTGCCAGCAACCTTAGAGGCCTCTCACTGCGCTCCTAACCCCTGCCTGCAACCCTTAGAGGCCTCTGCGCTCCTGACCCCTGCCCAGCAAACCCTTCGAGGCCTCTCACTGCGCTCCTGACCCCTGCCAGCAACCCCTAGAGGCCTCTAACTCCGCTCCTGACCCCTGCCCAGCAACCCTTAGAGGCCTCTCACGCCTCCTGCTCCTACCTGCCAGCAACCCTTAGAGGCCTCACTGCGCTCCTGACCCCTACCAGCAACCCTTAGAGGCCTCTCAACGCTTTTTTTTTTGGACTGACGCCTCTTTACTACATCAGTAGCACAGTAGGCCGGTCTTGTTGGGCTCGACGTAAAGGGTGAAACAATGTCAGCGCACACAATCCGCCAGACACACCAAGCAACCACCAAGCAAACAGACACCAAAGAAACAAAGCGAGCAATCGCGCTGAACTTCTAGATACCCCACGGACTCAGTACTCGAAGTCGTCAATGAAGTCCCGGTTCACAAGGAAGCACAGAGCTTGTGGGGGAATCGCAAATTGCGACATTGCCAGATTCTCAAAACCACCATCATGTAGCCACTGGTGCGACAGCGGTTATTCAAACCGAGGTCATCAGAAGAGGTTCGGATCACGTACTCGTTGTCAAGGACAGACAACCGACACTCAATGGCGAAAGGATGTTGCAAGTCAGACTCCCTAGGGGGGATGAAAGATGTGCATATGCCCCATGGTGGTCAGCCAGTGGGGACTTAACAGCAAGAACAATCAAGGCAAGACCGGCCCAGGGCACTCCGTGGTGGTCAGCCAGTGGAGTAGCTCCGAGCTCTGGGTGCTCCATTCACCTTGGCGTACAAGTGCCCACCCAGAGAGGTGTCCGCGCCCGGCACAGGGGGCATATGCCCCATGGAGGTCAGCCAGTTGGGGACTTAACAGCAAGAACAATCAAAGCAGGACCGGCCCAGGTCACTCCATGGTGGTCAGCCAGTGGAGTAGCTCCGAGCACAGGGTTCTCCAGTCAACCTGGCGTACAAGTGCCCACCCAGAGAGGTGCCCGCGCACGGCCAGAGGGGGGGCGAGAGTAGCTGCAGCTACCGATTCCACGGGGAGAGTCCACAGCGAGTTACCAAACCCTTAACGCCACAGGGTTTATAATAACAACGAGGAACCTCCCAGTCCAGGCATCTCACACAAGGCCACGCAACCTTGGCGCTGGCCTGCGCATCGGCACGCATCAGGTCCCTCCAAACCCAAACCCGCGAGGTACGTCGGTAAGGAGATGGGAGGGCTCACATCACATTGGTGCCGAAGTGCAAGGATCTCCATGGTATTGCTACTTTGGTCCAATCAGAGCCTTCAGGTAACATCCACGCGGGCGGGGAGCCCACTTGCCCTGCCGCAGGCCAAGCTCAGACGAGGGTGACCCTCTAGAGTCTCCAGAGGGCCAGGTTGTTCTACAAGTGGGGAATGGCTCCCTGCCAAGTCAGCGGGTGCATAATCTCCACGTAGAAGTGTCCACAGCCAGCGCGCCGAACTGCTAGGTCACCCTGTGCACTCAGTACTCGAAATCGTCGAAGAGGCCGGGAGCACACATGTAGCACCGAGTGCGCAGGTGCGTCGCAAAATGCGACGTTGCCAGATTCACAAAACCACCATCATGCAGCCACCGATGCGAATACATTCAGCACCAGCCAAGGCCGTTCACGAGAAGGTTCACAAGTCCGCCATCACAGGTGGGGCATAGTCGTGCCTTGGCACGGGACGTTGCAGGTGTCAACCTTCTTGATCCGAAGTATAAAGTTGCCCCATGGTGGTCAGCCAGTGGGGACTTAACGGCAAGAACAAAGGGTAGGACCAGCCCAGAGCACTCCATGGTGGTCAGCCAGTGGAGCCTCTCCGAGCACAAGGCGCAACGTTCTTTTGACTCACAAGAGTCTCGTCCGACGGCCAAAGCAGGCTTGACTGCTTCGTTCCAATCAGAGCCATCAGGTAAACCCAAGCAGGCGGGGACCCCACCTGCCCCGCAGGAAGCGGGAGAGTCCCCCAGTCGAAACTTCGCACTCAAGGCCAAGCAACTATCTCCTTGGCCGGTGAGGGTTGAGGGTTCAATAACCAGAATCAGACCCTCCATGCCCAAACCGACAGACGTCGGCGAGGAGATGTGAGGGCTCACATCACGCTTGGCCACCTACCGATGGGGAGGTAGTCATGTATGGCTGCTTTGACGCAAGCAGAGATATACACCCAAGCAGGCAGGGAACCCCGCAGCAACCCAAGCACAGGCGAGAATGGCTCTCGTGAAGGCCAGGTTGTCCACAGGTGCTCGATGGCACATTGCCAGGGAAGTGGAAACCTGATCTCCGCGTAGAAGTGTCCACAGCCCAGAAGCAGCATCCCCTAGCTGGTCTCTCCCAATTGGCATGACGCCGTTGTACGACAAGGGGGTGTCACCGTCCAGACGAGAGATGGTCAACACTCAAGTCCGAGGGGTTCACACACGGTCGTAGCACATAGAAGCGGGCAACCTGCCCACCTAGAGGGGGCAGAGGAAAGGAAGATTGGCCGTTTTACCGATGACAAAGCTGGAACATCCAGGCAGGACCGGTCCAGGGTAGTCCGTGGCAGATG